CCCCCCCCCTTGTCAACGAAGCCATTCACATCGAAGCCAGAACGGGCTGCAAAGATCTTAGACCCGGCCATCTACAGGCAGCGCATCCCATCACGACTTTGCAGTCGAGCGCACAAGGCCAAGAACGCGTTAATTGTGAATTGGGTGACGAGGAACATGGGGGGCATTGAGATGATTTGTTGTGTAGCGTCATCACATGACAAGAAGAGCAAGTCTTGAGTAGGTAGGTGACTCTGCAGAGGGAGAATAATAAAGAAATCAAAAAACCCAGACTTTTTTTCTGGAATGACGGGGGAGGGGAGGGGATGAGAGGTGTTACGGGCAGGGGAAAACAAGCTCGGCAACGGTTTAGACAGAGCATCATATCATCCCGATCGCATTCGCATCCGCGCCCGCCATCGTCGTTCAGAAAGCTGGACCATTGGTGCCTCCTGCAGGCAGACAATGTTCCGAATCCGCAGCAGGATTGCCCCACCTAAACTCGTGCGATGACGCGTCGTCAGAAAAAGGGCGCAAAGGAAGGTGGCAGGAGTGAGGAAAATACAAGACAAAAAAGTGCGAGTGCGTCGAGGCGCGGGGAAAAAGTCGACAAGATGATCAGCAGGTTCCTTGTTGCGCTCGCTTTTCTCCCTCCCAACACTCACCACCTAGGCATCGGCACCACCTTGAGAATGGTGACGGACATGAAGAAGAGCACGAGGGCATTGATGGATGCTGCAAGTGGAATGAGGGTGCGAAGGTCAGGCGCGCGCAATGTGCAAGTCACTTTCATCATGCAAACTCGAAATTCGGCTCGATGAACAAGACGCTCACTGCCAGCATCCAAAGCAGCGCTAAGGACGTAATTGCGCTTCGCAAAGAATTTGGGATGATGTTTGCGCATCCAATACTGCGAAAAGATGGCCGCTATAAAGCCGCTCGAGATGATCTGTGCAGAAGGGGTTGACAGAGCAAAAGGGCGCAAACTTTAGTGCAAGACACTTTTTTGATTTTTTCTTTCCTGCTTTGTCCAGGCGTGGCTTCAGCTCGCTCACATTGGTGGGTACTTGAGGCGGCAGACCCGCGCCATGAAGCAGCACGGGAAAGTTGATCTGCTGCCACCATTTCCTCGGGAAGCGCTTGTTGAGCAGCCAAGGAAGGACGGGCAAGAGGAAACCTATGAGAAAGCCAAAGTAGAGCTTGACGTAGTTGCCCACGAAGAACCGAGCTGGTGCAATGGCGCCCCAGATGATGGATGCGCTGTAGAAGATGTGCACCTTTCTACCATCCCATTGACCTGTCGGATCCACTTTTTCTCCAGTGAGAAAGACCCGATAGCCTGCATCTGGACTGAGGATCAAGCGCACGACGGCCTGAATCAAAGGCAGTAGCATGGGGGTACATTTCAGCATCTGTGATATGCGTCGCTGTTTGCAAACGTACTCACTAGATTGACGCAGCAACCAATGACAGTTCCAATCGTCTGCGCGACAAACATGTGTCTAGGGGGAATCTCTGCCGCTCACACGACGAGCGAGGATGAGATTGATGCCGTGCACCCTTTCTAGAGCGGCCGCTCGTACTCACTCATGTAATGCGCCTGCCGCGAGCGTCGATAGATCTTGTCAGCCAAGTTGGCTTCCGCGAGTCAAACGTGAGACACGACCACCCACAAGCTTGAGGTCCGTTGTCAAGTCCAGAGCCTGCGACATGGCCATGTACCCATAGCATTTGAAAGCGACATTTCCCACTGGTCTTCCAGGCCAAAGCAATCCAGCGACAAATTCGGTGACGACGTTGAGACCAATGACGGTGTCCGACACTGCTTTGATCAGACCTACAGGCACCAAAAAGATCAGTGCGATAGAGACGGCTAGTAGCAGACCCGTGACCTGCCGACGTGAATTCTCGTCAGCATGGCCTATGCCAGCGCGCGCGGAAATGTCTGCCCAGGATTGACTGACAGTGATCTGAAGGGGCGAGGTCGCTACGAGCAGAATGGCAGTAGACAGACTGATTGCCAAGGTAGCAACGTACCAGCTAGGGCGAAGAAGCGCTCGAGGTGATCAGTAAGTGGACGATGATCCGCCGCGACGATGCACCTTCCGCACCTCTTGGGGACTGGTTGGTACGCCTTCATCAGGCGATTGTGGATATCTTCCCCAGGCGGAGCAAAGATGGCTTTCATAATGTCCTTTCGATGCCAGAGCACCACATGCGTGATCATGGAGGTGAGCGTCGCAAAGGAGATACCGTACGAGCTGTTGCACGCGAAGTAGCAGGTGAGCAGACGGCTTACTGTCTAGCCCTGAGAAGCGTGCACTCACAGCGCAAACTGATCAGACAGGGCAAGATGGACAACGAAGCCTTAGCCAGTGATCGTCACCTGCGCGACTCTCTCTCGCACCTCCCAGACTCACCCATGGCGTGAGCAGCAGAGGCGAGTTCTGTTTCCACTTTGTAGGGTCGAGCATATTCTTGCTATCCAGCACGCTCGACACGTTGAACTTTTTGTAGTCTCCTCCATACAATCCCGCCCCGAGCGGCGCGTCGAATTTTTGCGCGTCCCAAAAGCCATGTTCGCCCACGAGAAAGTACAAGCATGGCATGACTACGAACATGGCTCCCATGATGCCGGCATAGTAATTGAGCGCAGCCCAGAGCGGCGTGTAGAGAGGTCCAGCAGCACCCACGGCGGTCCAATCGAGGGAGAAGTTCAGCAGTCCGAATCCTTTCATGCCAGAGCCCAGGATACGCATGGAGCGCGACTCGTTGTTGAACAGACAGAGCAGCGACACCGAAGTGAGGGTAGGCATGATGAGGGCTGGAATGAATTGATAGATGAAGACTAGAGGTGCACGTGAAAGGCCTTTCGAGTGTCAGCTGAAGTTCGTTGGAGTCAGCAAGCCATGCTGATCTCACTGGCAACGAATGCAAAGGCAAAGAACCGAAGACGGGGCTTGGTGTCCGCACTGTGCGCCCCATGTAGCGTGTTGAACATCGTTGTGGTCACCAGAGTCCCTGGAAACACCATGGCGACGGGCTTGACCAGGATGGAATGCACCAGACCTGCAAAGCCAAAGCCTAAGGTTTGGGTCGTCAACAGCAGGGCCAGACTGGCCGGAATGCTCATCTTGGTGTGATAGAATAGATCCTGAATGTTGAGAATGTCTGCTGCGTAGGCCGACGATGCACCTGAACTCGACACCACAGTGACCAGCAGATGCTCCTTGATGGAAAAGTCTCCAGGATTGAGAGCGACGTAGCCTATGAGCGGGATCCAAATGTCCCTTTTTGGCGTCACTCGTGCGAGCCAGCGTCCTAGGGGCAAGGACACCAAGATGACCATGTAGGAGCTGAAGCTGGGCGAATTGGACTTGTAGAAAAATGTCTGTGGTGGTAGAAGGGGCGAGTGAGTGTTTGTGTAAGCGACTTGCGCAGCTCCAAAGCCGATGGCCACTGTATACAAGCCCCTGCGCTACGCAGCGCGGGTAGGGCCTCCTGCTCCGTGTGCAGCGCGCCAGTCTACACACTTGCACTGCGAGGGAGCAAGGAACGCTGAAAAGCCAGACAAAGCGCGGTTGGCGAGGCAGTGTGCTACCAGCACAGCGCCATGGAAGCCCTCGAGTTTCTGCATGTCAACATATCCAAGCCACACCGACTCACCTGAGCCACTGCAGCTCCAGCAGTCGCAAAGATGCTGCCCATGATCACACCTCGCAGCGTGAGTGCGGTCATGGTGGGGTCGTCTGTTTCGGGTACGGCCCTCCTGACCAGACTGATAGGATCGTCCGAATCTCTCGACGCCACATCCTCTCTCTCCCTCTCCCTTCCCCTCGCTCTAGCTCTCTGTCTAGCAGCTTGCGTTTGCGGATCCCTCAACAGAGCTTCCTCATCGCCCGCATCCGCATCCGAATCCAGATCATCATCCTCCGACTCCGTCTCCTTTAGGTATGCCTCCTTGTCCAAATCACTGCCGCCCAATGTCCCATCTTCAAACGCCTTGTCCCTAGCGCTTCGCATCGGCGTCAGCTCTACGTCCGAGTACGATGCGCTCCCACCTTGTCGACCTCCTCCTCCGCTCCTCTGCGCGCCGACGCCGCTGCTGTTGCGGGACATGGTTTCCATGGAAGGGTCTCGCCTACGTAGAGGAGAGTACGGCACCGCGCTGGATGAAGGCATGTGGCGTAGTGTGGTGTGACGGGATATGGCGGGGTGTGCTGGACGAGCTTGATAGAAGATGCAGCTTAGAGTGCCTGCTCCCTCCTCGTCCACCGACGGGCAGATGACCGCTGATTAGAAGCGAGGGCGCTAAAGCCTTCCCAATCAGCGATGCCAGCAGCAATACAAGGCGCTTGTGACGCGTGGTCACAATCCAAATCGAAATCGTGGGTTGATTTTCGGTGCGGGGAGTTAATGCTGATTCTGGTTATGGTCTGACCGACTCGCTTTGATGTGGGTCTACGACAACAAGTGCTTAGCTTGAATTGGCTGGCTTGCTCAAGGAGGTCGCGATACCGTCGTTGGGACTCGTAATTGCAATATGGAGCAGACAAGACACAGCACAGCGGTCTGATGAAGTCGTCAGGCAGTAGCGGTGGCAGCGTGTGCTGGCGCTGAGAGAGGCTTTTCGTGAGGCGCTAAAGAGGAGAGCGAGGTATATGCGCCGTGACAACACGTGGTGATGTTGCCAATCGTGATCGGAGAAAAATTGGCACGCAGCGAGGGGTGTGGTGGATGATGGTCGTCGCACCTCAAATGAAGCGAGAGGGTGCGTGATGACCTCTCCGCATGAAGCGAGGAGGACAATCTGGGAAGCTGTCGCTAAGCGAATCGAGGTGGTCAGGCAGGCAGACAGGCATGACTAAGGACCGACGAGGTGTGCATGGGCCATGCTGCCGCCAATCGTGAAATTCAGAAGGTGCGCTATATAATCACAATTCCTGCAATCGCGGTCATGCAGCGGTGGGCGGCGGCGCAGCTACGCCAGCATGCGTGAAATGCGCGTGGGCGCATGTCTGTAAGCGCATTCGAGATTCACGTGATTGTTGATCAATTCAGCCATGCTGCAACGTACGACTCAAAGCTCGGACGAGACTCTCGCGATCAGCGGAATGTAGGCTTGTGCCTTTTGGGTTCCCTACAGCAACCCATGTACAATCGTGAGTCGTCATCTTGCTCCGCGTATACACAACTCGCAAGCATGCATGCTTCTCACTCGCATACTGACTTTGCTCTACATTCATAGCAAGCTCAATCAATGCTCAACAAGCAGGTACAGATACGGGTATACGAACAGCAGTGGCCAATCCGCCCAGAGAAGTCTCCTTAAATTCGCTCCTCATACCCTGCGCCGTGGATCTCATAGCAGCCAAAGCTTCGTCCAAGCTGACCGCATGTCCACTCTCGCTAGTCTCTGATAAAGCCAGCTGAGCGCTCACCACTGCCTTGGCAGCGCCCAAAGCGTTGCGCTCGATGCAGGGTACTTGAACCAGACCTAGCGGCGGATCGCACGACAAGCCGATAGAGTGTTCCTGTCGAGAAAGGATGCATGACGATCAGCCCATCTACGCTTCGCGAGCCCAGGTTGTGCTGGGAGTCGGGCTTGTAGCTGCCTGCTGCTCCCTCGACCATCACTCACAATACCAATCTCTGCCGCTTGCTCGATGGTCGCTGGACTGCCACCCATACAAGCAGCAAAAGCAGCAGCAGCCATAGCGGTACTAGATCCCACCTCTGCCATGCATCCACCCTCCGCAGCGCTTATAGTGGCGCCACGTTTGAACAACATTCCGATAGCTCCTGCAGTGAGCAGAAAAGTGAGCACGTCCCTCTCCTCATCTTCAGAGTAGAATTCCAGCGTATACTTGAGCACGGCAGGTATGACGCCTGCTGCTCCCATGGTGGGCGCCACAACCACCCGACCGCCAGATGCGTTGACCTCATTGACTGCAATCGCATAACAGCTCAAGAAATCCGTTCCCGGTAGCGAGAGTCGTCGAGGCGGTGTTGGCAAGAGAGGATGATCCATCCTACCGACCACACGAGGTGGACCGGAAGAGCGTGCGCGGCGCCGCAGATTGCCGCTGCCGCTGCCGCTGCCTACGACGGACCATTCTGAGAGAGCTGGAAGATCGCTTGGCCGAGCAGCGTCTGATTCTCCTCCGCCTTTGACTGACACTCTCTCGTCCAGAAGGGCCACGCCCTTTGGCTTCGACGCCCCCACAGCACCGTTCGACCCCGAAAAAAAGCCCCGCGTCAATCGAGCGTACAATGCGGGCGCTCGCCTGCGCAGCTTCAAAGCTCCGGGAAGAGTCTCTTCGCTGGAATGCACGCCTTCGTAGATGCAAGTGTCCATCGTGTCCCAAATGTGCCTAAAGGTGCAGGAGTGCGGGGGGGTCGATTGGGTCAGTCAGACGGTTAGCCAGTCAGGAACGATTGGTCGATCTAGTCAGTCAATCAAAGCGCTCATTTTAACATTCGCAGCGTGGGGGGCATTCCGATTAAGCGAAAGAAACTCACAAGAGCTTCTCTCGGAGCTGATCCGGCGAGTATCCAAGAGACACTTCATTCTCCCATACAATCTGCGCAATCGTCATGTTGTGTTTTCGTGTCAGGGCGAGCAGGCTAGCAGCGTCCCAGAAAACGTAGGGCACCGTCGGCGTGCCATTCGCCTTGCTCCCAGCATCTTTAAGAGGTTCGCTGACGCTGCGGTCCTCCTCTTCAACTCGAGCTACGGACTCGGCCGAAGTTGGTAGCTTCAGCGACGATTCTTGCGAGTCTGAGGACCCCTCGCGATGAGCTTCCGCGCCGAGTCTTCGTGCCGCTTCTGCTTTTCGTCTGTCAATTCCCTTGTAGAACAGATTTTCTGCAAGATCGACAGGGTGCGATGCGGGCGCAGCTGACGGTACAGGTGAGAAATTCTGCGGATCTGCACTTTGCAGAGCAGCGTTCCCTGTTGATGCTTCGTCGGATGTTGTCACATTTGCGCTCTTGGAAGAAGGGGCGACGCTCATCGCTCCATTAATGACGAAGCCTCCTCCTACAGAAGCGAAATCATTCGTGGCGAGCATATCTCCAGCTTCATCAAACACTGTCAATCTGAGTCCATTGGAATGCATGGGCAAAACTTCGCCCCACATCCACTTGAGATCGGTCTTGTAGTCGAAAGCGATGGTCTGACCAGCAGGATCAGAGCGCGCTTCATCCGTCATCTTCGCTGCTGCTGCTGCTGCTGCTGCTGCTGCTCGCTGCTTTGAGCTTGCCAGATGCTGTCCGATGCATAATTGCTTGTGATCCAGAATCTCTTGATACCTTTTGGGTGCCCAGGCAGTGTCCACAGTCTCTGCATCGACACCTTCGATGCCGAGCAGCAAAGCTCTGGGCGTATAATGCCCTTCGCCAGTCGCTGCCAAACTTCCATACAGGTGTATTTGAAGCCTGTGAACGCGCTCGAGCAGCCCGGCACTTTGCAGTTCGGTAGCAAAGATGGCTCCTGCTCGCATAGGGCCTAGCGTGTGAGAGGAGGATGGCCCGATACCGATGGAAAATAGATCAAAGACGGAAATGACTGCATGCTCCGTTGGCGTGCCTGCCGTCATTTTGAACTGACTAGCACCCGGTACCGAACTTGAGGATGCGAATGCGGGTGCGGCACTCGTATCGCTGCCTGCCTCCTCCGCGCCCATGGCGCTTTCGCCTTGCCCATCAACTCCAACACCTCGCTCCTTTTTCAGCCGTTCTGCGCGCTCTCTATCTTGCCGAAAATGAGCGTCAGAGTATGAATGCGTGTCCTTAGCATCAAGCTCGACGCTGCTGCTCGTGTGCAACTCGCGATGTCGACGACCGTGCTTCTCATGGTCATTTGGGCGAATGCGCGGCTTTGGTGCGAAGTGTGTCGAGGTGTGAAGTTGCTGTGATGGTCTGGGTGACAGTTGCGCAAACACAATTAGCCTTCTGCTTGGCTTACGCGGCATGCTGACGTTGATGCCTCCTAGTGTGAGTGCAGCCCTCATGGTGTGAGTGTGATCAAATGTCGAGTAAGAGTGCTGAGTGTGGATGTGGATCTTGAATGTTGATGCTGTCAACCTTTGACTCGGCCCGGCAAGCAAATGGACCTCCACATCAAATGCTGACACTGTGACTAACTGTCTTTCAACAAGGCTTCTGCTCCTTCCGGATCATGATGGCGGAAGTCTGATGAATGGCGCGTAGGTAGACCCGTCCGTGCCTGCAACCCCTTATATGCCCCCCCGGTCTGTAAGACGAACGCGGGCGCGACTACTCAGCCTTGCAAGTCTATATATGATGCGCCCTTCGCCGCAGTCTCAAGATCCTCCAAGTGTAACGAGCGTATCTATAGGAGCGCCCAGGCCGCCGCCCCCACCGGCATCATCTAGTCGTGAGCATGAGTTTGCTGATAAGGTCAGGCAGGCCGCACCCACAACAATCGTGAATATCACACTCACGGCTAATAATCACGAATCGTGAATTGATGCGCCCCCCTAGCTGCGTCCTCGCGTGCCTTGCTGATGCTGCACGACGGCCTTCTCCTGCTGCGCAGCTGCCAATCGTGATTGGCTGACATTTCGCAAGGCTTAATTGAGTCGGCAGTGGGCACATCGCTGATTCGCGCGCGCGGCCGCGGCTAAATGTCCGCGTCAGATGTAGACGCGTAGAATGCTCTCGAGTGTGGCTGGGATCTGAGGACACGCGCGCAGGCCAATTCCTGGGTAGCAGTGAGTCGATCGTGGATTTGTCTGAGAGGGAATCACGAATGCTAAATGATATCAATAATGATATAATGACCAAATGTGAATTGAATGGCGAACATCATCTCATCTTTGTCAAAGTTGGCGGTGAGGGTCATCTCGCTATACCCACCTGAAAGTCTTGCACGCGCAGGAGCGCTCTTCGCCTGGTCACTACGACTACTAGGGCTTGAAACTTACAAGGAGTGGCGCGATGATCATGTCGCACTACAGGTGAGCAAATCAAGAATGGTCGCGAGAAGAGAATGCCTTGGCATAGGACTCCATAACCTTCATTTGATTCGAAGATGAAGGTCCTTCCTTCAATCCGCTTCGACGTGTGCGTCTAACCTGCGTGACCATGGCAGCGGCGAGAGGGAGCGGAGTGGACAAGGCGTAAAGCATGCAACGACACGATTCAGATTCATGAAGCAAGCAGCAAGCAGCATGCGTCGGCGGAGATTCGAGCTAAGCGAGACAGGGGTCCACCTTGCGTGCGTGCGTGCGTGCGTGCTTGCTTGCTATGCCTGCTGTACCGTACACGTACGTAGCACGGATGAGCTTGATGCTGCTCGCACCCGCACCCCGCACCCGCACCCTCACCCTCACCCGCACCCGCAACCGCACCCGCACCAACTCATCAAATACGAGCTCGCTCCATCACGGCACAACCTTGGGTAGAGCAGGCGGCTGGCCATGCTGCTCTCTGCTGATGCCGTCGAGGGGTCACAGCAGTCACGAGTGTGAGTGTGTTATGTTGAGAGTGCACGCATGCGCACCACCCTCGCCTGCCTGCCTGCATGCATGCATGCATGCATGCATGCGCATGGACTACCTCCTGAGCCCTCGTGTGCTCTCGCTGCTGCTGCTGTGTGCGTCACGTCGGTGCTTTGCAGCCAAAGTCGTTGTGTTGTGGGCCACACGGTGCGGAGAGTCAAGAGTGTGAGTCTGAGATGTAGGACTCGTGATGCTTGGCCGAGGACGTGATTCTTGATCCGAGAAACATCCTTTCCAATCACTCACACTCACACCACGCGCACCCATCGTGATGTGATAGCTGCAATCATCGGTCACCTTTCATCGCATCGCATCGCATCGCAGCTATAGCATCAATCTCGACATCCGTCTCACTCGACCTCACCTACCTCATACGGCTTCAGCACCTGCTTAGAGTCGAATCGCGGCTCGAATCTCGTGCAAGCTTCCCTCCTGTCTCATGCAAGGACCGCCCCTCTGCCGATCGACGTCAGCACATTATCATTATTTGAGACAGGGCTACCTTCTGGCCTATCGGCTCGACGCGCAACAACAAGAGCGGTGAGTGCTGTGCTGTGCTCTCAAAACCTCCCGCAGGTTTGGGCTGTGCAGCAACGTCGAATAATCATAAAGGGTTGCAGCGCTGATCTTCATCCGATTCCTCCAGCCTATACTTGCCTCTCTCGCGCTCTCCCAGGCAAGCGACTACCACCACGACCACACGATCTTGACGACCATCATCTACGCGCAGTGCGACTTTCATCGCGATTGCCATGACAGCACGTCCAGCAGCACGACCGCTGCCTAACCCTCCCGCAGGGGGAGGCGGGGGCGCCTATCATTCATCCAACGATGCAGTCTGGTATGAGCACGAGGAGAGGATGCGACCATCCTACATCTCACCGCAACCAGGACTGCAAGCGTACGGAGGAGGAGGAGGAGGAGGAGGCTTTGGACTTCCCAATTCACCACCAAGGAGCCCATCTGCTTGGTACAATCAACAATCGCCATACATGAGATCGCAGCAGGCAAACCAATTTGCGCAAGGGCAATCTGGCGGCCAAGCATATCCCTTTCCATCTGCATCCGCTTCTGCTTCCACATCTCGTCCATCTGGGCCGACCTACTCGAACAATCTTCCAGCTGGTGCGCAACCTTCGTATGCCTTCAATCAGCAGCAGGTGCATCAACAGTATGCCCCAGAGAAGAGGTTTGGCACCGCGAGCAAGAACAAGCACAGCAGTATGCAGCCATTCCCGACGAACAGGCTACCAAATCCCTATGATGCTGGATTTGGACAAGCAGACGCCTTTGAGAACTCAAATAGAGGGGGCAGCGCATTCATGGTGAGCAGGACGTGGGCCAGTTCCATCGTCGGCATCCATCGCACTGCTCGGCACGCGAGTAAATTTGCCTGCTAACCCTACGTGATGAACGCGTGACTTGACAGCACAAGGGCTTCTTTGACATTCTCTCTTTGGTCAACAATTCGCCCGCGCCTGGAGGTGCGCCCTCACGATTGGGTAGTGGACCAGGAGCGCCTGGAAGCCCGTCGCGCATCAAGGCAACCCTGTCGCGCGCAACCGGTGGACTGCGCAAGATGTCTGGTAAAGCTGGCGATGGGGGCGCGGCTGCGGCAGCCTCGGCTGCGCAAAATCCTGGCCCCTACCCGTCGTCCGACGATCCTTTTCTCGTCGGTGGAGGAGTAGGACTGCGCCCGCCTCCAGCTCCAAGCTCGGGAGCAGCTCGAAGCGCATCTCCCGATGTATTCATGCGCGGAGCATCTCCGCTTTCTGCCTTTCCATCCACTACGAGTGCTGCTCTCTCACCGGGCACGCACGACGCTCCAGGCGCACCAGCTGCAAGAGCGCAGAAGAAGCGCATCAGCGTGGACATGATTGGAGCGCCAAAAGCTGGCACCTTTGTGCATGCGGCCCACGCGAGCGATGCGGAGCAAGCAGAGGAAATCTTGCGCAGATGGGGTCGGGATGGGATGGGCAAGATTGCGGGTGAGTTGGGAGAGTGTTCGGGGCGAGGCAGGTCGCGCATTGACCCTTTGACGCGTTCCGCTCTGCAACCTCAGACCCAGCTTGGTTCGAGCCCATCAAAAATGCCATGCGCCAACAAGCGATCCGAAACCAAGCTGAAGCGATCGCGCAAGTCCAGGCCGCGTTGCACCAAGAGTCGGTCATTCGAGATCAACCAAGGCAGTTGCACATCGTCAATGGCACAGCTAGCAACGCTTCCTCCGCCCTCACTACCACCACGGCCACAGCTGGTCACAGCTATGGCAGCGCGACTAGCCCTGGTCTCGCGGATCAGCCGACACCCGGGGTGACGAGCACAGCGTGGGGACCATTTGCTGGCATCGCCGAGGAGCTTCGAGGCTCGGACGGCGAGGCTAGACCTGCGCCCTATCCGGATCAAGTCATCGCGCAGCCCAGGTCGCCTGCTCCACCTTCACCCCAAGCACGCCGAGCAACTACGCCCGCATCTCCTTCTCCAACCGTGCGCCCCACTCCCCCGCCTCTGCCAAGAACGAATACGGGAGGAACCATGTTCGTAGCTTCGCCCGTGACGAGTGTCGATCAAGATGCGCCGGACTATCTTCAGTTCCGACCTGCGCAAGCTCCAGCGGGTCTGCAGCCTCCCAAGGCCATCGATGGACTGCCAGGATCTGGAGGTCGAGGCGCTATTGGCGCTCTGTTCGAGACGCGCCCCACGTCTATGGTTGTGCGAGAGATCGACGGCATTCCGGCCGCTAACAGTCCCGCTAGGAATGAGCAGGACTACGAGCACCAGCAGCGCAAGGCGGTGCTTGGTGATGCGCAGCTCACGGATGCTATGGCCCTACGAGCCGGCGCAGCTCTGCGACCCAGCTTGACGACCATCGAAAAGAGCGTCGCTGCGAAGATCTTCTTCGAAAATTTGTACTACGGCATCTTGAAGACGCCGCGAGCGCGCGACACGAGGCGCGCAGGCTTGGAAGCGGAATTGGCATCGCTGCGCATTCCAGAGTCCAGCAAGGACTTGATCCGCGCAAAGTGGCTAGCCAACGAGACGGAGCACTTGCGCGATATTCGCGCACGCGTCAATGTCAACAGCTTTGCCAAACTCAAGACGATCGGTCACGGAGCTTTTGGTGTCGTCGCGCTGGTGCGCGAAAGAGGTACGGGCGAGCTGTTTGCGATGAAGCAACTACGCAAAGCCGATATGCTGCGCAAAGGCCAAGAAGGCCACGTGAGGGCTGAACGCGACCTCATGACGAGTGCCAGTGGCGGCGCGAACGCCAAGTGGATCGTCAAGCTGGTGTACAGCTTTCAAGACGTTGATCATCTGTACTTGATCATGTGAGTAGGTGCGGGCATCCTTTTTTGATTTCATGTCTCTTTTTTTTTTTCTTGTCCTTACAATGCGACGAATGACGTACGCGCAGGGAGTTTATGGGCGGAGGCGACTTGTTAAACTTGCTCATCGAAAAGGACATTTTCCAAGAAGACTTTGCTCGATTCTACGTGGCCGAAATGATCCTTGCTATACACGAGGCGCACAAGCTGGGTTACATACACCGTGACATTAAGCCCGACAATTTCCTCTTCACCTCCAGGGGCCACATCAAGCTGGCCGACTTTGGCCTTTGTCAAAGCTTTCATTGGGCGCACGATGGCGCGTACTACGACCAACAGCGGAAGAACTTGCTGCGCAAGCACGGCATCGACCTGGACGACACCAAGAATGGCGCTGGTGCGGCGACGCGGGCTCGCGCACGCGAGGTTGCAGCTGCGAATGGAGGCGGCAACACTGGCGCAGGCAAGCGCGGACAGGCTGGGGCTGGGCTCGATGACAAGGAGCTCAACGAGGTCATGAGCGATCGCAACAATGACGGTACTCCATTGACCCACGTGCTCACGTGGAGAGACAAGCAGAAGAAAAAGATTGCTTACTCTGTCGTCGGCACCAACAACTACATGGCGCCCGAGGTGCTGCGGGGTCTGGGCTATGATCAGTCGTGCGACTGGTGGTCGCTAGGAGTCATCGTGTTCGAGATGCTGTACGGCTACCCGCCTTTCGTGTCCAAGTCGCGTCACCTGACGAGGCAAAAGATTTTGAATTGGCGACAAACGCTCAAATTTCCACCAAAGCCCAAGGTGTCGAAAGATGCTCAAGACTTTATCATGAGGTTGATCTGCGAAAAGGACGATAGGCTAGGTTCGCAATCCACCGCATCTGTCAGTCGACCCAATTCGTTGTTGCAAGGCTCTCGACAGCAGCGAAGCGGTTTTGCGGCGACGAACCATGGTGGAGCGAGCAGTGTGCCTGGACTTGCGGATGGCGTGGAGGATCTCATGTCCCATCCGTGGTTCAGAAACGTCGATTTCTCCTCCATCCACTCGCAACGGACGCCCTTTGACCCCAAGCTGGCCCATCCTGCAGACACGCGCAACTTTGAAGAGGGCATAGAGGACGAACCGCTGGCTGCGCCCGGCGCTGCTGAAGCTGCCAAGAATGGTCAGCCCGTGCCGCTTGAACAGCCGCGAGACCCGATGCTGAGAGACAAGGCAGAGGGAGATCGACTTTTGGAAATGAGAAAGCAATTGGCTTTTGTTGGCTACACGTTCAAGAGTCCTAAACCCTTTGATGCCAAGACTCAAATCACGGAGAGCAAAGTGATTGCTGCGGAAAGAGCTTCTGCTGCTGCTGGACACACTGGTGCGGCGCCTCTACCACTCGCGTATGAGCATGCGGAGCCTACGTTGGGCGGCAGCAGACTTCGAAGCATGTCCATGTAGTCCTTCG